AATGAAAAATCCGTCGTTACATTTATTACTAACGAAAAAATTACGACCGAATAGATTCCGTCGTTACCAAGATTACCTACGAAAATAAGGCTTTGGGGACGGAATATTTTCGTCGCCATTTCTGTAGTTTTTTGTAGTGCAATAATATGAAGTACCAAGTATCAAATAGGAGGGAGTAGTTGTTTAATTATGTGAAACACGGAATAAAACCCTTTGGTAATTCTTAGATTCATAATCATTTTATGGACCTTAATACATAAAATTATTACTCCTTTTGTCCTAAAATGTTCTTTCTGTTTATGTTTACGGGGTTTGACTGAGTTTATTTTCAATTCATTTTATTTGATTGTAAATGTAAAAATTAAAAAAAAAATTATATATTTAAAAACTATATCAAAAGTTCTACAAAACAAGAGATGACAAGACTATATTGTTTTATCAAATAACTAACGAAAATAGGTAAAAAAAAAGTGATTACACTTTAATCGTGTGAATAGTAACTGAGAAAAACATTTTAGGACGGATGGAGTATATGTATTGGTTCTTGTAATAATAAAGAGATTTAATTATGAGCGTATGAAAAATATGTGACAAGATCCATATTTTATACTCCCTCCGTCCTTAATTTGATTACAATATTCTCTCTCATTCTTGTCCAAAAAGAATTAGAAAGTTCCAATTTTAACATCATTTGGACCATTTTACCCTCTCTTCCATCTCCATATGTAATGATTTGACTCCTTAATTGGGGATAATTTGGGAAAAATTTTAATGATTTGACTTTCCTTAACTTTTTCAAAAATAAAATATTGTAATCTAAAAAGGAACGGAGGAAGTATGTAAAAATTAGAATCACAATTGTACAACTCATCATTGAAATAAAAAATAAAGTTCCTTGATAGAATTCATGATGGTCTATGAATTACTGGATTTAATTATAAGACTTTTAGTTGAACCACATTAAAAGATTGAACTCAATTGATTGTTTAGTTTCAACTTATATATTGATTACTTTTGTAAAATTTGTTTGGTTTAGGACTCAAACATATGTGTTTTCCCTAAATAGGACTTCACTTGTTTTTTCCCATATATAGGAGTTAATTTTAATCGTGTATCCTAAATTACCCTTGCTTAACCCAACGCATTTCTCTCCCATAGCTTCCTTTTTTATTTATGATTATGTTGTCATATTTAGAAGATAATGATTCATAAATCATAACTTCTCCCATATTTTAGGTAATTTTCCCCATTTTTTGCATCCATTAACTTCCCTTTTCATCCCGCACGTTTCTTGGTTTTCAACTTCCTGGTCAAAGTCGGCCGCTACAATTCTTCGTCCTCATCTGTTCCCTACGCCATGTTTTCTTCATTATTAGCTTCTGTATAAAATATTGTTGGGATTTTAAGCGCGTAAGATACCGAAAAATATCGAGAACACCAGAAAAATGAGAGAACAAACACAAGAAGAATATATGAGAGAAAAAATTATATTTCTACTATTTTAGGACAATATACAAAAAACTCTCTACTGTTTACAAGACTACATTCCAGACACTTATAAACAGATCTTTCAACATCCTATACCCTGATGTATTTTTCCGAGTAACTAAAACCAGCTACTTCCTACACTCACCCACACTCACCAAGACCCCTTGGATTTTCCCGGTGGTATTCTTGTATAGAATTCCTCCCATGTTTCTCTCTCTACCTTGGTGGTGTGTAAAACCCCCACACACACACACAAATACTCCGTAGCCTTTCCATATTAAAGGGCAAAGAGAAGCATACCCAATTAATTTGCATCAGGAGAGAACCCGATCACATGCATGCATGTTGGATGTATCCACCATCCATATCTTCATTTTTTATCTTCTTTGTCCTCTTTCTTATTTCCTTTTTTTTTCCTTTTCTTTTTTTCTATCAGGACATTATGCTCTGTTATCTTAGAAGCTCTACATTTTACTGACTATGAATGATGTCGTAAGTCCCTTTACAATCATTGTTAAAGACTGCTAAACATTGCTATCTCTTAATGCCTTTCTCTCATTATGTCCAAATCAGGACATTATGTTCCATTATGTATCAAAGGATTCAAAGCTTAGCTCTTTACACACTATTCACTACTGTATCCTCCCATATCTATCACACTTTAGTTTTTTTGCTGACTAAGAATAACATAATGAGGACATTATGCCCTGTTAATGACTTTATGTATTAAGCTTAAAATTCTTACTAACGTCCTCACTAGGACATTATGCTCTTTTACGTTCTTACTAACGTCCTAATCAGGACATTATGTTAAGGACATTATGCTTTTTTACTGACTAGGAATAACATAATGAGGACATTATGCTCTGTTAAGGACATTATGTGTTAAGCTTTAAATTCAAACAACGTCCTATTCAGGGCATTATGCTCTTTTAGGTACCAAACCTCACCTCTTTACATACTAATATCTGTCCTTAACCAAACATATATGTTTTAAAACTTAATAATATTGTTCATATGTTTTTTTGTCAGGTACAACCGTGAACATCAATGCCCTATTGATGCTCGACAAGGCACAACACGTCATGCTACGTATCACATTATTGCTGAGCTTGTAAAACACAAATTTTGTGATGCAACAACGAAGCCGTACCCCCCAAATCAGCCATATTATGAAATTAAAAAATGTACGTTATCCACCGCCATATCCATTATCAAGCCATATTATGAAATTAAAAAAAACATAGATTCAACATTAGGTTGTTAATGACCAGAATAACCATTTCTAAACATTCACGCCATGTTTTTAATACTTACAGGGAAAGCAAAGTCCACCCCCTCTACTTGTTTCCCGATCTATCTAGAAAATAATATATGTTAATAAATGTAAAGAACAACACTAAAATAATTCTACACAACTATTCTATGCATTCATAATGTGCGTGGAACACAAACACCACAACAATGGTTTCGTTCAAATACGCTAAATACTTCTATTCAAAAAACCAAATCTGAATATTTCCAGACCATGCATGTCCATAACTTGCCAAATACCTTCAACAAATTTAAACAAAATACGACCACATGTTTTGAATGTCTAGTTTCACCAACAAAAGTATGGATACTACATGCATATTATCAAAAAAACAGATCATCGACTAGGGCATTATTTTCAAGCACCACAAATTCTATAACATTAGACGGCAGAGTATGCTAACAACTCCACAGTCATCTTCTTCTTGTAGGCAGCAATTTCATGATCATGCATATCCCCCACATCGCACCCCATCATCAGAAACTCAGCCATCTTCACCACGAACATCCCACAACTTGACCTACAGTGCATAATGTCCTCATTATGTTATTCCTAGTCAGTAAAAAAGCATACTGACCTTAACATAATGTCCTTATTAGGACGTTGGTAAGAACGTAAAAGAGCATAATGTCCTGGTGAGGACGTTAGTAGGAATTTAAAGCTTAACACGTAAAGTCATTAACAAGGCATAATGTCCTCATTATGTTATTCTTAGACAATAAAAAATCTAAAGTGTGATAGATAGGGGAGGATACATTAGTGAATAGTGTGTAAAGAGCTAAGCTTTGATACATAATGAAACATAATGTCCTGATTTGGACATAATGAGAGAAAGGCATAAACAGAAAGCAATGTTTAGCCCTGCTTTCCCGACCAAAACCTCTTCATCACACAACCTTTTGTACACTTGTGGCAAAATATCCAACGTTAAAACATATACCAGGCATTATATTTATCATTTAAAAACCCAAACCCTTAATGACCTATTAAATTCCTAACCATTGGAAAGATCAAAGTCTCTAAGTTCAGTATCCCCATTTCAACATTTTTTACAGACCAGTATAAAGTCTTTAAATTTCAACTTATAAAAAGTCATTAATCTTAAATCAGACCAGAGACAAGTCTTTAAACATAATCTCAGACCCAGCTCTGGTCACTACAAACAATACAAAATCAATAAAACCACCTTTTGAAAACCTTTCCACCTTACTCAATGATAAATACGGAGTAAGTCATAACTACTCTTAAAAGTCATTAACTCTAAATAAAATCAGTGACAAGTCTTTAATCCTAAACTCAGGACCACCTTTGGTCACTACACACAAATCAAAGAAGAAAAAAATTATTACAACCAGTGTAAAGTCTTTAAACCTATTTTCAGGCAAAATTTGGTCACTACAACAAAAAAAAAACCTTACTCACTACCAAACCCCTACAAAAACTATCCCGGCCAAACAAAAAAAACTTCAAACACTACATTCACCAGACAAATAGGGTAAATAACTAATTTCAGGCCAACTCATTTCAATTACACAACCATGAATCTCACAGGATGCTTAAGTACATAACTAATTTCTTCACAACCACAAAGTCTTTAAAATCCAGTCCATACCTAATTTCTTCACAAAGACTCACATGATGCTAAAGTACATAAATAATTAAAAAGGTTGCAAGTCATTTCAACATCACAGACATTTTCACAAACACTACATATGCAACGTCGACAAACTTACACCTCATTTCAGGGATGATAAGTAAATAAAAAAATAAGAACCACAATAAAAGAACTTACTTGCCCTGAGGTTGTCTTCACTAAATTCATGGTCTTTATTATCGGAATCTTGTCAACGAAATCATCATCGTCATCTACCCGTTCTCTGTTCGCCATTTTCTTCGCTGCATTGCTCCTCGTCGTCATGTCTCCTCCTCAATTCAATTTCAGTATGATAACGCCCTAATCCCCGATTGACAGAATCCTAGATCTATTATACGATACCCACACAATTCGGCATGCAGAGAAGTCGAGACACATTTGGAAACTCGTGCTGGTATCACCTACAGCGGATGCTGCGGCTACACTTTCGGGCTTCTCCGTAAATCATCGAATATTTCTTTTTTGTTTTTATTTTCATTAAAGCCTTAATTGGAGGGCATAGTAGTCTTTTAACTACAAGTCACGTGGACAGAAATAGGACTGCTCCTAAAAACGGAAAAGGGTCCTCTTTTGGTCCTATATGTGTAATTTACTCATTACTTTTCGCGCCTATCATCCAAATCCGGCGAACTATGTCACCTGACAAAGAACTTAGCAACTGCATCTCTCTCCTGCAAAAAATTTTCTTGAGGTATTTTTCCGATTGAGCAATTTTTCTTTCCCGATCGAGCAAATTATTGTTTTGGGAAGTGAAACTATCGATTTCAACTAAGAATTCATCTTCTGAATCGATAGATCTGGTTGCGTCAAATTCGCAATTTCAGTAACAGTAACTAGATCCAGGAAATAAATACCGTCCCCAACTTGCCATTGCGGACATTTTTTTTGCTTTTGTTCCATCATCTGATCGTTTTTTTATTTTTGTTGTTCTTTTTTGCTCAACAAATTTCTATCGATTGTGATTTTTTTTGCATATTTGCTGTTAAGTGATTTCTGCATATTTGCCATAGTTTCTGCAGATAACTTCCAATAAGTGTTGAATGGTTATGTAATGAAGAACTTGAAGTAGAGATAATTTTTTTTAATAATAATTAAATAATAGTGAGTAAAAAATACGAGTAATAATATAGATTTCATTGTTGGAATAGAGGTAAAATAGTTCGAAGCTTAACACTATTGAAGAGCTAAAATGACATTAAGCCTTTAAATTTTATGCACTCTTACTTGGAGATGCTCTTACAATATGATTTGGATGGTTTGCAACTTGTGATGGTAAGTTATCCAAGAATCCCACTAGTAAAGGTACATACTTTAAGCTTGTGTTGGGTATGAGATAAAAGGCTCTTTATGCAAAGGTACAAATTCTTATGTTTACGGCTGCACCCCATTTAAATATTTCTTCAATCCTAAGCCACTAAACCAACTCAATTAGTTCCTCCCTTCATTAGTTTCTTAATTATTTGGCTCCTTTTTTTTATGTCTATCCCTATCCCACCAATGCTCTTCTTCTTCTCCCTTTTGTTGTTATTATCAGTGGCAGTGTCGTCGTCGTATGGGATAGCCATACACAACCAGTCCGATTTCTTCCGTCTTATGAAGAACTCCTTGGCAGGGGAGTTCATGGCTCACTGGGACGAAAGACCTCTTTGCAACTATCCAGGGATTGGGTGCGATGAACTTGGCGATGTTGTAGAGATTGACATATCGGGTCGGTCATTATCCGGCCGCTTCCCGGATGATGTCTGCACGTATTTGCCGAAACTGCGAATACTTCGCCTCGGCCCGAACCATTTCCATGGAACTCGACTTCCTGCTGGCATCACCAACTGCTCTCTCCTGGAAGAGCTCAACATGACGAGGACGCATGTGATGGGAGCCATGCCCCCAGACTGGACACACATGCGAGCTCTGAAGTCACTTGATCTCTCCTACAACCTCTTCACCGGTGAGTTTCCGGTGTCTTCGATCACCAACCTCAGCAATCTTCAGGTTCTCAACATCAACCAGAACAAAGGTTTCAGCCCCTGGGAACTCCCCGCAAACATCTCGCGGCTGACGAAGCTCACAGACATGGTCCTGGCTACTTGCAGCTTGCACGGAAGGATTCCCGGGTCGATCGGGAACATGACACAGCTGCTAGACCTTGAGCTGTGCGATAATGCTTTGGTGGGGAAGATTCCGGCCGAACTAGGGATGTTAAGCAACCTGGAAATGCTTGAGCTTTATCGCAACCAATTTGAGGGTGAAATTCCAGAGGAGCTTGGAAACTTGACAAACCTCGTAGACTTGGATTTGTCTGGGAACAAGTTGACGGGTAGAATCCCGGACTCCATTTCTATGCTTCCCAAGCTACAAGTCTTGCAACTCTACAACAATTTTCTCTCCGGGGAGTTCCCCTCTCGCCTTGCTAATTCCACAACTCTAAGAATCTTGTCTCTCTACAGCAACTACTTGTCCGGGGAAATCCCGGGACACTTCGGGGCGTCATCCCCCCTGACTGTCTTGGACTTGTCGGAGAATCGATTCTCGGGAAAGCTACCGCCGCGGCTTTGTGAAAGAGGTAAGCTGGTGTACATCCTTTTACTCCAGAATTCCTTCTCGGGAGAACTGCCAGCGAATTATGGATGGTGTTGGACGCTTCTCCGGTTCAGAGTTAACAACAATCATTTGGAGGGTGAGGTGCCAGAAGCAATATTTGGCCTTCCACACGCTTTCATCATTGACCTGAGTTATAACCAGTTGAGCGGTTCGATTCCGGCCACCATTGGGAACGCTAAGAACTTGTCAGAACTTCTCATTCCGGGCAATCAAATTTCAGGCATGTTTCCGCGCGAAATCTCCTGGGCTAACAATCTGGTGAAGGTTGATGTCAGCAAGAATCTCCTTTCAGGCCCAATACCTCACGAAATCGCGTACCTTAGAAGGCTCAATGTGTTGATCATGCATGGGAACAGGTTCAATTCTTCGATTCCTGAGTCGTTGTCTTCGATGAAATCGTTGAATTATCTCGACTTGTCCGATAATTTTTTGTCTGGAAGGATCCCAGAGAGTCTTGGTGAGCTACTAGAACTACTACCCACTCAAATGAACTTCTCAAACAATATGCTCTCTGGTCCTATACCTGTGTCCTTTATCAAAAGAGGTGTTTTACAAGGCTTTTCTGGCAACCCGGAACTTTGCCTCTTGCTCTCTTCTTATTCCAGCACAAAGTTCCCCCTCTGCTCGCAATCTCACAATCTCAAGAATACAAAAATTATTTCGGTTGTCGCGGTCACATTATGCTTTGTCATTGTAGGAATCGTTTTATTTCTGAGGCAGTGGCTTCGAAAAGAAAGAGATTTGGCGCGTCGAGAAGAACGGAAGCTTCAATACTCATTTTTGTCCTATGATGTCAAGAGCTTCCACAAGCTCAACTTTGATGAGAGGGAAGTTTTCAAGGGAGTGGTTGAGCAGAACAAAGTGGGAGAGGGAGGTTCTGGGAAGGTGTATAAAGTCAGAGTGAGCAACGGAGAAACCTTAGCCGTGAAGAAGCTCCGGAGCCAGAAAGGAAACCGCGGAGTGATTCTTGACAAGGAATTGAAAGCTGAGGTGGAGACACTGGGCAGCATACGCCACAAGAACATTGTGAAGCTGTATTGCTACTTCTCTGGCTTGGATTGTAGCATGTTGGTTTACGAATACATGCCAAATGGGAATCTCGGAGAGGCCCTCCATGGAGGAAATGTGGTTTTAGATTGGCCGATTCGTCACCAGATTGCACTGGGAATTGCCCGCGGTTTGGCTTATCTGCATCACGATCTTCAACTCCCAATTATACATAGGGACATCAAATGCACCAACATCCTGCTAGATGTCGATTATCACCCCAAAGTGGCAGATTTTGGAATCGCTAAAGTCTTGCAAGCAAGAGGGAAAGATTCAACCTCCACAGTCATTGCAGGGACATACGGTTACCTAGCACCAGGTAGCAGCATGATTATATCCAGTTAATAATTAATATGAATCCTTCATCTTCTTTTTTTTTTTTGTAAAACTTTGCTTTCCATATGAATTAGAATACGCGTACTCTGCCAAGACAACCACAAAGTGCGACGTTTACAGTTTCGGGGTGGTGCTAATGGAGCTGATAACTGGGAAAAAGCCAGTGGAACCGGAGTTTGGGGAGAACAAGAACATTGTATACTGGGTTTCAAGAAAGGTGGAAACCATGGAAGGAGCGTACGACTTGTTGGACAAACGAGTGTGCGAGTCGTACAAGGAATATATGATCAAGGCACTCCGGATCGCCGTGCATTGCACCTATAGGACACCTGCCCTACGCCCCACCATGAATGAAGTCGTCAAGCATTTGATGGAAATGTCAAATATATCCCCGCGCAGGAAAGAGCCATGCAAACAACCTCCTGAGTTTCAACTCTCAATCGAATGAGTCTATAAGTGTGCCACCTTCCTTGCCAATCTTCTCTTGTGTTGGGGAGGGGCATTCTGGATAGTATATAAGAAGAGGGAATACATTATAAGTACAACTAACTATAATAATTTCTGTAGCATTTAGGGGCAGAAATGAATGATTGTGGGTATTCTGTAAAGATCTATTTTCAATTCTGTCATGAGTTCTACGTGCTGGAGTAAGGTAACTCATTCCATCCATCACTATCTCAATGTCATTTAAGTAAACATGTCATTGACCCTTACCACCTATTTGCTCCATTTTCTCCCTCCCTAATCCTCTATCATGTAAATGTTATATTTGTCTCTAGGTTGGGGTTCGGGATGACCCGATGGTGCTCCGGTGCCCCGTTCATAAAATTGACGGTTCATACCCCCCTACCCCCGTCATTTGCACCCCACAAGTTGATTTTGACTTTGAAGTCAAAATTTGACTCTTAAGTCAAAATCAACTTGTGGGGTGCAATTGACGGGGGTAGGGGGTGTGTTCGGGTCGGGGTCAGGGTGGGGGTTTATAGGGGGGTTGGGGGGTAGGAACCGTCAATTTTACGAACGGGGCACCGGAGCGCCCTCGAATCATCCCATGACATTGGAACCCAATGTCATGGGATCCTTGGTGTTGTCTCTATATGATTGCAAATTGCTTATTACGGAACCAAAATATTTCATTGACCCTTACCACCTAATCACCTATTCATTCCAATACTCACACGACTTTGTCATTGCACAAGCATAACTGGAACCAAATACTTCCTCTGTCCCAATGTATTTGTCCAGTTTGATTTTTTCGAAACTGGACAAACTTTGAGCTTCAATTAAATGAAAACCGTACTGTATTTTGACATAAAAATAAATTTATTGGATTTATCGTATTAAGAACTTTCAAAATTATATTTCATTATGCTAATATGTAATATAAATTAAGAGTAATTGGATTCAAAGTTTATCCAGTTTGACTCGAAAAAGTCAAACTGGACAAATACACTGGGATGGAGGTAGTATAACTTTGTATAGATGCTCTTTACAATATTCCTTCATATTAAGCTATCAGTCTCATGTGGCCAGATCGACCTCATAAACAATGAAACCATCTAGCAAAATCGCCGCTGCCTCCTCCCAATCACAACACCATTTCTGCCATGCACCTCCACCCGTCTAAGATTCGTTGTTGCACCCTTCTCAGATATGCCACACCATCCAACCTTTGTTTCGCAGTGCCATTGCTGCCATCACCGCGACAACCACCGTCACCGCCCAATCGCAATTCTCCTCGAATTCCTTTAAAATCCTATCAATGAACCTCTTCGTGTAGGCATTTGAAAGCTGATCAAATAGTTTTAAACCATCTTTGTTCTTCTCTCCTAATGTACTTCTTAAATTACAGTGAATATGATATCGATAGTAGCCGTAGTCTGCTAGAGAAAAATGTTTTCTCAAACCATTCTTGATGCTTGGATGCCTATCTGAAATGAAGACCAAATCTCGATGGTCATCGATTAATTGTCGAAGATTACCGAATACATATGAGTATGGCTCGTTATTTTCAGAGTTTATGATGGCCCATGCGAGAGGATACTGATGGAAGTCACCACCTTGTGGTGTGGCAATTAGTAAAACACCCTTTTCAAGTGTTTTGCAGAATGTGCCATCAATAGAAATTACTTCTGTGGGAAACTTGAGACCTGAAATACATGCGTGAAATGCTACAAATACATACTCAACAGTTAAAACAGCCATCCTTCTCGACCTCTATATTAGTATATACACTGCCATGGTTTGCCTCCTTCAACACATGCAGATATAAAGGAAGTTTTGCATGGCTCTCGCTTGGTTTCCCATACAACTTTCCGTTTGTGAATTTCCTACCTAGCCATGCTTTTGTATATGTTATGGGAATGCTCTTATTTTGCTTAAGGATCGTGATTGTATGCGTATTTGGCTTAATGTGTTCCCGCGAACCTTCTAGAGTAGCCAGGACAACCTCCCCAACATACCTCGACGTAGTTTGCCTATGATTGCGCTTACGTTCACCAACTGCACAGTTGTGGTTGTTGTTGTACTTTTTAATGATAAATCTAGGGGAGTCTTTTACGGAAAATGCATGCATCATCCAACTATAGTTAGCACCTCTGCAACACAAAATATATCGAGTTGTATCACTCTTTACTGTCTTCGTTTCAAAGCAATCAGCAATGGCTATCTCGGTCATTTTCTACTTTAGATCAGCCTTGCAGGCAAACTTGTAGCCAACACACAAGTCTGATCTGTCGCCAAATGTTCCATCCGCGCCACTATCGCCATCTACCGGACCGACAGAAAAATCAAAATCATTAGGAAATCGAGAGTATTGTCCATCCTCGACACCAACATGCTCTTGTGTAGTTTTTGAATTTCAACCTCCACATAAACTTCCAATTTTGTCGGCTATGTTTAATGATACAATCCTTCCTGTAACAATTAGGTGAATATGTACTTACGTTGAAAGATCATTTCACCGATTATCGACAACAAAAGAAAGACGGCGAACAGCTGGGAACAAACGAATTGAAAGACGACGAAAGATGAGAGGCGCAGTTGCACAGAGTGGTTCAATGGCAAACAGCTTGCAGCAAACGGAGAGCAGCGGCGACTGATGAGAGGCGACAGAGTATGCAATTGATTGGCATAGAAAACCGATGAAAAATGGTGCGCGGTCGAAACGAGAATAACGAATTTCTTTGCTAGGGTAGAAACGCTCAGCTGCCGCAACGGTCTGATAACGATAACCTAGCAATAACAGCTTGGGGGAGGGTAAGAGAGTAAACTTACTTTGATAGAAAGGGTAGGTTAATAAATACGATCCGCTTTAGAGTAGAATGATAAATTTCTTCAATTTTTAGAGCTTTTTGAAAAAGCACCCACTTACTTAGTGCTTCTTATTTGATTGAACTACTTTGGTACCGGAGTACATATATCGCAAAAAATATTTAGAGCACTGGAATATATTCGTGAAGCCCCGGGGCTTCAAAATTTCTCTCTCTGCCACATCAGCTTTAACTTACCTCACAGATTCAGTGGAAATGGGTTTGAAGCCCCGGGGCTTCAAACAGGGGCTTCAAACCTTCATTTTTTACATTTTTAAATATACATCTTCTAAATTTAAATTATTAAATTTTAATTAATTTATTATTTAAATTAATCAAAAGGAGACTAGTGCATTAAAAAAATTACATTCATTAAAAAAATATTACATTCATAGAAGAATACATTCATATAAAAGTTACATTTATTAAAAAATATTACATCTATAAAAAAATAACACTACAAAGAAATTACTAATTATTCGAGCGACTAAAAATATCTTCATTCAAATTCGAGTTGTAGTAACATATTGCAAACTGAAATAATTCATTAAATAAATAATACAGTCAATAAAAAAAGTATGTTAAATTTAATAAAAAAACAAAACAAAATTACATTACCAAAAAAAATTTAAACAAAAAAAATATTACATTAAACAACAAAATATAGAGTAAAAAAGTTTATGTTTGTGTATATTTTTTTTTAAAGAGAGAGTGGGGGCTTTGAAGCCCGTTAAATGTTTGAAGTAGGAAGTATGAAACCCGTATGAAACCCCAAGGGAGCGGTGTTTGCTGCCCCTTTGGCGTTAAAAGGAGTAATAGCGCATTACTCCCATTACAAGTGCCCTTAATCTGAAAGCGGAAAATGAGCACGGTACCGAGTCTTGTGTGCAATGAGAGAGGAACATATATAGACGTACAGAAGAAGAGATAGACATGGGCGGATATGGTTGCTGTTGCTGCCGTTTTCCGATCCGACCCTAGCTGGCTAGCTACCACTGCACCACATATAGATTACTAGCTGCATATCATGCATGTAGACTATAGGCACGTACAGATGCACAGCGCGTAGTAGTAGTAGTAATTGAATTAAAATTAAATACTCCGTATAGTATTATTGGTTTCGTTTGGGAAGAAGAAGAAGAAGAAATAATAATAATAATGGCGCAGAGGCTCTTCAATGAGGGTATAGTTGGCTACAGCGCCTACATGCAGCAGCAGGATATATATCAAATTAATTAAAGGTTTCAGAAGATATGATATGATTGATCGACAGCCTGTTTGTTTTTTAATCTCTAGCATTTAAACCAACTTGCATTGGCGATTCATCTATTTTTTGGGCAAAGTTTGTGAGAAGGGAAAAAAAGGTTGGAGATGGTATCCTCACGCATCTTTGTGGGGAAAGGAAGTACTCTTCCATATACTTTTACTCCCCCACATAAAATTATATCCCGTCTCTGTTTTGATTACAAAATGGGAATGACAAGGTAAAATCTCATTATTTTTGAAATCATTTTATTTACAAATTAGTATATCAACAAGAAATAAAAATTACATCTTAAAAAACTACTACAAAACTAGAAGTGACAAAAATATTTTATTTTATCAAATAATCAATTAAAACACACAAACAAACAAAAATTGTCGAAAAAAGAGGGAAAAAAATTGTAATAAAAATGGGGACGGAGGGAGTACTCCATAAAAATTATCAAGAAATTCAAGAAAAGAAAAATATTAAAATAGAAGTTTTATGCTTTTATTCCTTGAATAGGAGTTTGCATTATGTTAGTGTAACACTCACTACAAAAAACACGCGTTATTGGCACGGACTTTTGGCACGGACGCCAACTATAATTTTCCGTGGCAGTAGCATTAGGCACGGAATTTGGCACGTATGAAAAGACCTGCCAATTTCGAAGCTCCAAAAATTATGGCACGGATTTCTTGTCCGTGCCATATAAAGGCACGGAATTACCCGTGCCGACACCATTCCAAACTCACGGTTTGAAGGAAAACGCCAATGTTTATAGGCACGGATCTCGTCGTGCCAAACGAGTGTTCTTACCATTCCGTGCCTTTTAAAATTTTCAAAATTTGAAAATTTATTTTTTGAAATAATAAATATTGGCCCCTTTGTCATGGAACTATCCGTGCCTAATTATTAAAAATAAAAAAAATAAAAATTTTAATTCGGCAATATTACAAAATTCAACAATAAAAGCATCTAATATTCACACCATAATAACAAAACTGATTAAATTTAAATAAAATGTCAAATAATATTCATCACATCCAACAAATAATAAATGTTCATACCACATTCATCTCACAAATAAAAATAAAAGTTACAAATTATCATGATTTAAATAACTTTTAACATCACAGTTATTAGAATTATGTCC